ATGTGCACCTCAATTTACATGCAAGTGGCACCTTATTGTGTTATACATGTTTATTGAACTTCTAGATAATATGAATGAAATATACAATTGCTAATATAGAAATGCGAGCCTAAAATTTTGTTAGAAGTATTATGTAGAACTTATATGCTTGTATGACAAGATAGTTAGTGACCATGAGAAGTTGATAGTACAGGTGCTTACGTTGTAAATCATAGGGGTTGAGGTAAGGGTAGGTTGCGTGTTGAACTGATTTCACCATGTAACAGTGGTACATGGATGGTCCTACGTCGTATATCCACGATAAGGGGCCATACATATTACAGGGGTGATCATGCTTGGTATATCTACGATGGGTGATCACCGCCTGCACGATTAGACTATGCATATGGTTCTGCTTGGTATATCCACAATGGGAGACCATACACATTCTATGAGTGATCATGCTTGGTATATTCGCGATAGGAGATCACTAACTAGAGCTATAAGATACAATCATGCTTGGTATATCTGCGATGAATGACTGTACATATGTTAGGAGTGATCATGCTTGTTATATATGCAATGGGTGATCACTGCCTACATTATTAGACTATGCATATGGTTGCTTGGTTTATCTGCAATGGGGGACCATACGCATTTTAGGACTAGGAGTGATCATGCTTGGTATATCCGTGATAAATGATCACTACCTAGAGTTAGGATGTGGTTCTGCTTGGTATATCCGCGATGGGGGACCATTCGTATTTCAAGGGTGATCATGCTTGGTATATCTACGATGGGTGATCACTGCCTACACGCTTAAAGTATGCATAAGGTTCTGCTTGGTATATCCATAATGGGGTACCATACGTATTCTAGGGGTGATTATGTTATCACTACCTACTTAAGGTTATGAGAATTAGTTGTACTTGGAACATTTCGATTGGCGACCGTATTTTAGTTGGATTTCGTTGAGTGGTCCGGAATCCCTACTTTTGCTTATTGCCATAAGGTTAGTACGAAACCCTAAATTCGAGTGAACAAGAATTACCCACAGTAGACATTGTGAGTATGAATTAGATTTACCATGTTATTTCTTATAATCCAAGTAGGAAATTATGTGGAGTTCCTTTATTAAACTCATGAAATGATATGTTATCTCATTGATTGATTAACATGGTTAAATGATAACATCGTGCATCTTTGATTCATGAATTGATCAATGGACATGTTTGTGGATTGGTGTTGGAAAAGCTTGTGATATAAGTGAATGACAAAATGACAAATCTCGGTTAGTATATAGTTGTTATATAATGTGGTACTTTACGTGCTCTGCTAGGAAGTATATTGAGAAAAGTTTAGAGTTCAACAACAGGTGAACTACGAATGGCTTAACCCCTATTTAGGGTACGTAGGCAGTCTAACACAAAGGTTAGATGCAACTATGAAATAAAAGAAAGTTACTACATGTTGAATCATTGATTATTTTTTTGGTTTTATCTCAGGAGCGAGACATGATAAATAAACAAGAATTGGTGACATCACATGTCAATCCTGGACATATCTTGGGATCGAGGCATGACACTTGAACCAGAAATTGTTCCATCCTAGTTTTCTAGCACGTCAAAACTTGAAATTTATTTCACAATTCATACACCCCAGCATGAAACACAAACCCTAATTTAACTTCTAACTATTAATTCATCAGATAAACAACCCAGTTATTCCATAAATCATTGATGAAAGAATTTGAAACTAAACACCCTACCTTACTATGCCAATCGAAGCTTTAGTCGCAAGAAAAAATGGAACTTTCTGGCCAAAACAAAAAATATGGTACAAAACCTAGCTCAGTCTTCTTGCCTCTCTTCAAACTTCCCTCTTTTCGAAATCAGAGCTCAGAGATCTTAGCTCAATCCAGAAACTCAGAGCTCACAGAGCTCTCTCGATAGCCCTCTTTTCCAAATGAGAACAATGATGCAATGGGCTAATGATTTTTAGTATTTATATATGGGTATTTTAGTAATTTCGGTTTTGTGCATGGTGTGCATGACTTGTGCATGGTCGGTTTGTCCTATTTCTGTCCCAAGATTAAGAAATTATCCCATTTTGGGATATTTCCCTTGAAGGAACAAGCATATAATGAATGTTTATTCAAGTATTAACAAGTCTCTTACAATTTATTGAACAAAAATAAAATTCAAATGAAATTTATTGAGTTTTTGTCTAAATAAGAGTCCTGACCTAGACAGGTGCTTGGGCGAGTCTAGGCAGGCTACGCGGTCGCCTAGTTGACACCTAGAGAGGTCTAGGCACCTTTCCTTAATTTTCAAATGCCTAGGAATTAATCGAGGTGGTGACCAACCGTCTAATGCCTAGTCGAGACCTAAGTTGTGCTAGGCGGTGATCTTTAGAACAATGATTTGATTGATGTGGAACACCTTCTCATCTATAAAACATTGAGGTAAGATGTTCATGGTAGTTTTTTGAAGCATTAACAAAATTATTTCCAAGAATACCAAATATCTTAGGGTCACAATAGTATGGTGGAATCATATTAGCCAACGTGAAGATTGTTTTCAAGTCAGCTCACGTTCTTAACGTGGAACAGTTGGCTTTAGAGGAAGACGACCGGTCGCTAGGATATGGGTGAGCGTGAGAGTGACCTATCTAGCTATGTGGGCATACGCAACTGAGTGGTAATCTTTTTCCGTGGCTTCGAGTACATCAGTCAGTTCGTGTAGAGGAACTAGTATTTTCCGTGGTTTTTTTCCTATTTGAGGAGGTTTTAGATTCATGCTTTGAATTCCAATTGTAACCTAAAGTCTAAAACCTATTAAGAGTATTAAAGAATTTTAAAATAATGGAATTTAATTTTTTTGTAACATACTAAGTTTCTTATTTGGGAAACCTAAAAACTTAATGGAATTTATATACAAGTTTAGAATTATCAATCTACAAATGGGAAGTGGTATACAACAAATGTGGTAGTGGAAAGTGCTAGTGATTGTGGTGGTGGTGAGGTGGTGGCAACCGTGATTGTTGTGGGAGTGGGAGCGGGAGTGATGGGCATGAAAATGTTGTGGTAGCAGAGGTGGTAGTGATGGTGGTGGTGATTTTTTGTGATTATCGATTATGTGCAACAAATTTTTCACGGAATGACTAAAATAATTGATAACGGACAAATTCAGGAATCACTTCTATCGATTTCAAATCTCAATGGCCAAATTAAGAAGTTATGTCAATCTAAAAAACCATTTTAGCTAAAAAACTAAATTAAAAAAAAAATAATAATAATCAATACAGTAGTTGATGATTTTTCTACTTTTAAAACATAACTACGGTCAATCTTGTATCTAACTTTTGTACTTTTACTCTTTTTAAGTTATTATTTGATGAGTATATATAGTAACAAGATCATTAGAGAGATCTCTTTGTAATGTTTTATTTAAAGGGAACTACAAGAAGAGGGGAGGTGACTTTGTGTCGGTGGGTTTTATAACTCTCTACCATAGCTTGATTTGCCAATACATCTCAAGAACACGACAGAACATTAATTCTCTTTCAATGCTGGCCAAGTGACCATGCAATTTCCGGAAGATCTTTGGATTTGATGAGCCAATAATATTTTGCTATTATTGGAATGGAAAATTACGACAGCGGTGATCTCCTTTCATACAAATTACTAAAAAAAATGAAAATTAAATTAAAAATTAATGTGACAGCCTGACATGCTCATGTGCAATTGTAGCACAGCCGTTGGAGCTTGCCATCTCAATTGATCCCATCTTATCGTTATGTATTAACTCATGGTTTCAACTCGTGCCTTTAAAACCAAGCCACAAGGAAACACCTGCAATCTGCAGAGGCAAAGCAACAAGAGTGAGTGACTCACTTGAGCCAAGGAGGTACGTTTCTTTCTACTTCAAATGGTAGTCATCATTTTTTAGCTTTGAGGAATGATTTTATTGGAAATATTTTTGGCTTGCACCTTCCCGAGGTTCATAATTCGTTCTGCAGAATCTGGCTAAAATGCATGCTTTCCCAAGTTGAGTTTAGCAGAAAACGTAAAATGTGTTAGTCTATTGTAGACTTGAGCGTTGCCAAATTGGCTAGAGCAATGTATTCCCACCTTTACACCCACTACAAATACCCTCCTTGCATTTTATGTTAGATTAGAATATTGCTCAGATGAAAAAAGAGATAAAGGGGGGATTTAGTTTGTTCATTTGTGCTTTAGAATCTGATTGAAATGTAAAGGCTTGTTCAGTATTCTACTTGAATCTAATTTTTCAAACTGAAAAACACTTTCTAAGTTTTAGATCTTGAAAACTTGTTTTATAGGACTATCTTCAAAAGTTATATTCAAGACTAATTTAAAAAATAATATATTCTCTAAAAACACCAAAAATGAAATTTTTAAGTTTTTAAACTTAAAGGCCCACTCATTTCTACTCTCTGTCCACCCCTCTCACTCCAATTTTCTCTCCTCTCTTCATTCTCTTTTGTTTCTTGTTACTCTCTCCTCCTTCTCTATCTCTGCCGATCTTCTCTCTTCATTTTATCTCTTCCGATCTTGTCATTCTTTCTTTTCTTCTCTCTTCTCTTTCTCTCTCTTTTCCGACCCCCCTCTCTTTGGATCTCTTTGTCTAGTTTAAATTTTAAGATTTAAAAACAATTTTAAATCTCAAATCAAACAAGTTTTCGAGTCTTAAAAGAAAGTTGTTTTCAGGAGATGTTCTTAAGAAATAATGATTTTTTTTTTAATAGGATACTAAACTGACCCTAAATTTGTATTTGGCAGAAAATGTAAATTGTAGAATGGGTTGGTACTGGTGTATATCTGACTAAAAATGTTCCTTCTGCACTCTTGCACTTCGTCCAAGGGGACTACTAGTATTTGGGCTACTTTGAATTCCACTACTTGACTTCATGGATTGGGATTATAATGAGTATTTTATTAACACATTATTTGATTATTATTTGAATTGTTTCTTCTCTTTTAAATTTTGAACAGATTGCAGTACAATCTTTATCAAGTAAGATGAGTTTGAATGATAAGAAGGTTCATCCAGTGAGTAGTAATGGAGACATGAAGAAGGACAACCCCTTCAAGATATTTGTGGGTTACGATTCACGCGAAGACATTGCGTACGAGGTTTGTAGACACTCAATACTACAGCGATCTTCGATCCACGTTGAGATCATACCAATCAAACAATCGGACCTCAGAAAGAATGGCCTTTACTGGCGCGAAAGGGAACAGCTAGAGAGCACCGAGTTTTCTTTTACCCGGTTTTTGACTCCACATTTGGCGAACTACGAAGGTTGGGCAGTGTTTGTGGATTGTGATTTTCTTTACCTTGCTGACATTAAGGAACTGAGAGACTTGACTGATGACAAATATGCCATAATGTGTGTTCAACATGACTACACACCAAAGGAGACGACAAAAATGGATGGAGCAGTGCAGACTGTGTATCCAAGGAAGAATTGGTCTTCCATGGTGTTGTATAACTGCGGACATCCCAAAAACAAAGTGTTGACACCCGAGGTTGTGAATACGCAAACAGGCGCTTTTCTTCATAGGTTTCAGTGGCTTGAGGATGAAGAAATCGGGTCCATCCCATTTACTTGGAACTTTCTTGAGGGGCACAACCAGGTTGTTGAGAATGATCCGGAAACTTTCCCAAAGGCGATACACTATACTCGCGGAGGGCCGTGGTTTGAGGCTTGGAAGGGTTGTGAGTTTGCAGACCTGTGGTTGAACGAAATGGAGAAGTACGTGCAGGAAACGAAGAAGTAGATCGGAAACTAGATAGAATTAGTAGGTGGTGTACTGCATTTGAAGTTTGGGATTCATCATTGAAGTTCATTTGCTTTTGTTGCTGCTGTCTTATGATTTAGAATTTCTAGCAGTGATTATTGGCTAGGTATTGCATTATATGGTGTAATTCATCGTGTAAGAATAAGATTTAGATTGTTATGCTGTAATATTTGTACTAAATAAAAAAAAAACTAAAATAATGTGTTTTTTTAATAATATTTTTACTATTATTTGGAAAATGGGAGAGAGTTCCAAATTATTACAATAATTTAAAGAATGGAGAATTTCAAAGCCGTAATGCATTGGTAGAAATCCATCATTTTATTCACTGAACCAAATACGAAGAACCCATAATAATATAAGTATCTTGCACATTTGAACCTTAATGGTGTGGCATGAGATAAGAACCACATTATATTTATACCTACTCAAGCTCAGCAGAAATGTACTGTTCATTATGTGAGAGATAGCACTGTTGGTCAACAGTGAAAGGCAGAAATACCCTTGGTTTCTGCTTCGGTTCTCGTAATGTTTACACTTTGATGCAGTAAGAAGTCTGTTTTGTCCTTCACGGCCTCGCGTCTCTCATCAGCATGCACTTCCCTCTTTGCTACATCCGAAGCCTTTGAAAAAAAGCCAAAAGAAAAAAGCAACCCACAAAAGAGATACTAAATGCGAAGTGGCAAAAATATATACAGGCACTTTTAGGGAAGGAATTTTTTTTTTTTTTTTTTTGAAAAATAGGGATACCTTCTTGAGTCTTGACCATCAAATTTGACTTTAATGAAATTATGTAGTTGAGATTAAATCACATGCCACATAATCTCAACTATAGAATTTCATTAAAACCAAATCTAATGGTTAAGAATATGTCCCTATTTTTTTTGAAAAATGAAATCCCTTCTCTTAGACCATCTCCAATGGTTGGGCTAAAAGTCAAATTTTTTAACCCGAAAAATTTAGCTTTTAGCCCAAAAACAGTTTTTCTACTCCAACCGTTCTACCTTAAAATTTTAGCCCGGGATTATTAAAGAATGAACTTAGGCTATTTTTTTTGTTAAATTAATTTTTTTTTAAATCAATATGTAGACTATCGTAAATTAATTTTATGAACATTTTAATCTAAAAAAATTTAAATTCCGATAAATATTGGGTAGAGTCCACCCTGATTTCTAGGCTAAATTTCGGGGGGAATTTGGCATTGGTTTAGCATTTAACATTCAGCTCAAAATTTCACCTTGGGTTGGAGTGGGTTTGGGGGGAAATTTTGGAGGGTAATTTGGCTTTTAGCTCACCATTGGAGTTGGTCTTAAAGGCTTTATATATATATATATATTGGGCAGGGAAATCATAGTCCAATCTGAAAGTGAGAGGTCATGATGCGAGTGGGAGAAAATAAGAAAGAAAAAAAAAATATACATATATATATATTTATATATATATTGGGCAGGGCAAACCACGTGTTGATCATCCCTTTCATTTGGCTTTTCAGCTCTTCTTTTTTATTTTATTTTTCTTTTTTTCTCCCACTTGATAATGTCTTTTTTGTAAATTATATAAATTTAGACAGCTTTCTAAAAATATTTTGTCCATTTTGTGTTTGGTATTTATAACTCTTTGCCTATTTATATGTTAAAAACATAATCGATAGTTATATTCTCACTCCCGTGTGTTGATGCGGGTTGATCCTGTTGTTTCATATTGTGAAACAGTGGTGTAGTCTTTGTCAATGAAATGTTTTGCTGAAACACCCAATAAGAATAAAATAACCATGGTAAGAAGCAACCTAATTTCAGAAATTTTATGTGATTCAGTTTTTAAATTATAATCTCCTAAAAACCTTTTGCAGATTGCAGAGCCATTGGAGAGACGACTTGCTGAGGACATTGAGAATGTATATAAGCTATAGTGTTCGTTTCAGCAATGCAGGTTGAGTATGATTTTTGGGATTATTTCTTCGTTGTTAAGAACCTTCTTAGTGTATGTTGTATTAGCTATTGACAATAATCTTAAGCTCATTTGTGGTTGAATTTGACATATTATTTCCTTGGCACAAGAACATGAATTAACCCCAGACATCCTCAAAACTACAGGAAAGAAAGTTTGTTTCATATCATATTTTCTGTTTTCATAAATATGGAAGAATCCAACATATACATTACTTAAGATTAAAGTTGGGGCTTCTTTCTGTTTTTCATTTGGGTTTCCTGGTGGGTTCTCGGCCCAATTTTAAGCGGGTTCACTGGACTCACTTTGATTGCCTATCCTTGAGTATTCATGTCATATTTTATTCTTCTTTCTTCTTTGAGATGACTTTTGAGTCCTATGATTTTCAGGTACTTAATCTTCAATAATACGTAGTAGCACCGCATGCCACTTGTTTGATAAAAGGTACGGGAGAAACATGCACGCCCAACACACACTGATACGGTGTCTAAGTTTTTTTGTTTTGTGTTTTTATGTGTTTACAGTTGTTTCTTAATCGTAAAATACTTGCAGAAATAGCTTACAAAATAGGAGTTGTCTTTATATGATTTCCAATGAGATCATAAAATCAAGAGATTGGAAGGAATCAGTTGGAATAGTTTAAATGGACTTCTCTGGATAATAAACTTCAGAAAGATAAGAGTAGAAATTAGGATGGTAAAGCACGATAAAGCAATCATAATGAAGAAAGACGTTAAATAGAAAGTAGTTATTCTTCTTTTCTCATTTTTTGTCTTACGACACACATTTCGATTTTACAATTTTTCAAATGTGATGGGTTGGTCTTGGATGCATATTGCATTGCAACTATATTGTCAAATGGTTGTAACATAAAGCAGAAGAACCAATAAACTGAAAATTTTACTAAGATCATTTCATTAAGCAGTTATCCCTCGAAATTTGGGGGTTTCTTAAGATACAATGTTATCAAAATCCTTTTTTTTTTGTTTCTTTCTAATGTTATAATTTTGGGGTAGAAGTCAACTCTTTCTCTCATGTTACTGCGGTATTTTTATTATTAAATTTTGATGAAAACACTGTTTAGCATAAATCTTATTACAATACAAAATAACAGGGAGATAATTTTGATGATATTGCATCTATGTTTGTTTTTTAACAACGTTTATGCATACTGTTCATTCCAAGCATGTTAATGTGATAGCTAAAGGATTCAATTTGTAGAACATGCTTAAAAAATTATAGCTTTAAGTAATTACTCATCTTTCATCTCTCCTCTCTCTCACTTTGGCAGTAACTCACGACGTATTCCGTTTGCTTTTGCTGCTGCTGGTCTGCAGGTAAATTTTCACTTTCCATATAAAGTTTGCTTTGTTCTATTCCTAGCACAGTCATTTGACACTATATTTTCTTTGAAGTTGGTCTGTGAGTGCATTTTCAACTGATCTTTTTGTTGAACTCTCAACGGAGTTCCAACTTTGATCACAACATTGTTTGAATTTTGTCCTCTATCCTATGTCGTTTTCCACTGATTTCAACTTCCAATTTTTCCACATTAAATGTTCATGGTTTAAAGGCATTGTTCTAATATTAAACTATTTTTTTTTTTTAACAAAATTGCAGACAGTATACTTCTTTCAGTAGAATATAATTTTGCACCTAAGATCAAATATGATACCATTCACTCAAATGCACACAACTGATTAATTCTCTAAATATGTGTTATCAAGTGGTTTGAATGATAGCTATCTTTCTAATGTGACTTAGAGGTTGCCAGATTGCAATTTGAATGAGAAATCGTATTTGATTAAAAAAAAAAAAACTTAGATATTAGCCCCGGAAATATCTATATTTCACGCTATATGACTACTGCTTCTATGTTCTATGGTCTAAAATGTACTTGGCTTGCTATGTTTGTGGGTATGACGAGGCACTAAATCGCTTTTCTGTTCTTGGGGTGCAGGGAAAACGGAGCAAGAGAGAGAATAAAATTCTGGATTTATCAGGAACCTTGTAGATATTCCATGCATTTTTGCAACTGGAATCATTTGGTAAGTACTTAACCTTTTAATCAAAGCCTACATATGCCAAGGTTTTGTAATTAGCATCAAATAAGATAGTTGCTTTTATCTTTTAATGGCTCTATTAGTTGTGCAGATATACACAGCAGTGCGTTTGAAATAACTTTTGCAGTATGGTTATATATATCGTGGCGCATATGGAGTTGCTGTTGCTGTATGCCACTTAGTCTCCGTGGGTCACTACAAATTCTGGCCAAGTAGCTTAGATATGGTTAAGCTTGCCTGCATATAGAACTTAGTAGGTATTCCTTTACTTCCTTTTTCTCATTGATATTACATTTGAGTCTGGCATCTCTCTAAGAACCAGTATGGCGTACTCATTCATTTACACTCTCATCTTATTCATTCTATTTTTTTCAGCAACTTATCCAAATTTTGGAAACCATTTTTGCCAATGTTGAATATTTACGAGAGAGCGAGCTATTGTTACACCAAAAAATAATATTGTAACGGAGATAAATGATTATGCAATAAATTTGTTATCTGGTCAAATTAAGTTTAGATTCTTTATGCCCATCTTCTGGAAATTTTGAGAATCTTGATATAATGTATCCTACTGAATTCCTCAACACACATGATTTTAATGGCTTACCTCTCTGCAACTTGATTTTAAATATAAGAATGCTCATTTTCCACTTATTCTCTTTACATTATAAATCTGATGTCATGGATCTCATATACAATATAAATTCAGTCTCTTGATTCATAGTTTCAATGAAGCCAACAAACCTGCATTCACAACGGAAACCATCTTCCAGTCAACAACTTTTATGATCTTTTTTTAATGTAAATAGAACAATAGTTTGTCATCCTTTTTGCATGTAAATAGGATAATGTTTCGTAATCTTTTGTATGTAAATATTACTATCGATGCAAAGCCTCAAAAACTACCCAGGTGTAGAATGTGTCAATCTAATCTTTTTGGCGTGTAGGTAGGACAAAGTTCTATTATCTTTTGATCAAGTGATACTATCAATCCAAGGCGACATGAACTACCCATGTGGACTGTGTGGATCAAATTTTTTTGTACATAACAATTCATCTAACATT